CGCCTTCGGGCCGATCGTAGGCGGCGGTTGCTGCAGACGTCAACAATTCGGACCCTCATGAGAACAGTCGACACAGAAAGAAAGAAAAGAACTGCGTCCGAATCAGCACTCGCCAGACATCAACCGACGCACTTAAATCAGAAGACAACGAAAACACCTTTAGACGATACCTACCTACCACGGAAGCAAACACCCACATCCGGAACGCACTATCAAACGACCCATCCACGCAAGATGTACAAGTCGCGGGAGTCGGCACCACTCAAACGGGATACATTATTCGATTTAAGGACTCAGAGTCGGCAGAGGCGGCCCGCTGCAACACTGAATAGCTAAGGGACCTAGGAAACGAGACCAGGCTGGTGAGACCACGGCACGGAGTAGTTGTACATCACCTCCCTACCCACGGATTAGACCTCAAGAAGGATAAAGCAGGTGCTATCAAGAAACTCACAAACGAGAACGATCTCGCTGCTCACGACTTCCGAATCGAAGATATCGCGTAGCTCAAGAAACGGGACAAGAACCTGGGGACGTTCGCCTCCATAGGCATTTGGTTTGATTCGGCAGAGGCCGCAGAATGGATGGTTGACAATGGACTGCTGATTGACCGGCGGTACATTGGGCGCATAGAGAGATACAAGGCTAAAGAAGGACAATGCTTCCGATGCCAACGGTTTAGCCACCAGGCGTGGTCCTGCAAAGAAAAAGCAGCGCAGTGCAGACACTGCGGTGGCCCTCACGAACGATCAAGATACCCACCCGGAGTCAGAGCACGGTGCTTAGAATGTAGTGGTGAACACCCAACCAGGGATTCCCTATGCCCAACGCCAACCGGCCCTCTCGCCCCGCAATATTAGGGAAACCTCTCCGAATCCTACAATTAAACATCATAAAATCGAGAGCGGGCATGGAGGCCCTCATAAACGACCACCAGAGCGAAAATCTAGACATCCTCCTAATTCAGGAACCACCAATCACTGCATATCGAACACATGTGAACCACAGCGCATGGCGACTATACAAACCAACAATCAAAGACGGCTCAGCTCAACTGCGAAGCCTTATCTATATAAACCGTAGGCTCTCAACGGCCTCTCACCAACAAGTGCAATGCGACCACCCAGACCTAACAGCAATTAAGATCTGGACGGCCGAACTCCAGATCCTGGTCTTTTCGGTCTATATCCCACCCGTACCGATGCACAATCCCGACAGAACATCGGCAGAGACGACTCTATCCGCGATCCACCACACGATTCAGGAAAATACTCAAAACAACAGAAGGCCCACCTGTCTTATCCTATCTGGAGATTTCAACCGCCATCATCCGGCATAGGGGAACAACAACATCCAACCCCGCTTCGTTGAGGAAGCCGGCGAACTGATCAATTTCTTCCACGAACATGGTCTGCAGGGATATCTCCCTCGAGGAGTCTCAACCTACTGGTCGCTGAGCCACCCGGGAAGAAGGTCCACGATTAACCAGACAGTGACGGATAAATCTGAGTTACTGCTTAAGTGTCATCTTTACTACGATAACTACGGCTCGGACCACCGGGCCACATACTCAGAGTGGAGCCTCCAGATACATCGCAACAACAATAAACCTCCAAGAAAGGCCTACGACCGCGCAGACTGGGGGAAAATTAGGAACGAGGTCATAAGTCTCATGGGGAAACAGACCGAGATACACTCAACCCACGCACTCGATATAGCCGTAGAAAACCTCACTAAGACCACTGCGATCGCTGTCGACAGACACACGCCCGATCAGCAACCCTCCCCTTACGCTAAACGATAGTTTACGGCCGATCTCAAGGAGCAACAGAACAAAGTAAACCGCTTGCGACGCAGATGGCAGGCGAGATGTGCGGAAGCAGGACGAAACGATCCCCACAGCATGGCACTTTTCCAGGACATACGCCAGTCGCGGCGGGCGTGGACCCGGACGATCGAAGAAGCAAAAGCATCACACTGGAAACAATTCCTTGATGAGGCCGGCGAAGGGAAGTTATAGAAGGCCGCGTCGTACATAAAACCACGGGAGGCGTGGGGTTGCATCCCAACGCTCCGGGTCGGCGACAGGGAGGTGGCTGATAATCCAGAAAAGGCGCAAGCTTTCATGGACGCATTCTTCCCGTCGATAGCGCCCGCCGAAGACGAACAGCTGCCTAGACCCCCAGCCGAAATCCCATAGCAACCGATCTCAGAGATCGAGATCTACCGATTGCTCAGTACTGCAAAACCATCAACAGCGCCAGGTGAAGACGGTCTTCCTATGTTAGTCTAGAAACGTCTCTGGGATTACCTCGGGAGCATTATTACCAAGATTTTCACGGTGTCGATCGAACTAGGATATCACCCCCAGGGGTGGAGATGCGCCCAGATCGTAGTTCTGCGGAAACCAGGAAAGCCAGACTACTCGCAACCAGGAGCCTACCGCCCCATCTCGCTCCTCAATACGCTTGGAAAGTTATTGGAAGCAGTGGTCGCCCGACGGTTGTCCTTCTACACGGAGCAGTACGGGCTACTACCGGATACTCAGTTTGGAGGCCGACCAGGACGCACCACCGAGCAAGCCCTTCTAGTACTTGCCAACGCAATCGACAAAGCGTGGTACAAACAAAAAGTGGTAACACTAGTCGCCTTCGACCTAAAAGGGGCGTTCAACAGAGTCAACCAGACAAGCCTGGACGCTCGTCTCCAATCCAAGGGCATCCCTTTGGTTGCCCGACGATAGATCGCAAGCTTTATAAGCGGACGCCAAGCCAGTATCCGGTTCGATAACTACCAGACCGAGGTAGCACCGCTAGACAATGCCGGGCTGGCGCAGGGCTCTCCACTCTCGCCCATTCTGTTCACGCTCTTTAATAATGATCTGGTAGACCAGCCCGTAGATTCCAAAGGCAGAGCTTCGGCCTTCATCGACGACTATTTTCGCTAGCGAGTTGGCTGGAGTGCAGAGGAGAACCTAGCCAGAATCCAGTTTGAAGACATACCACGTATCGAAGCATAGGCCCGGAGGACCGGATCCTGCTTTGCGGCCGAGAAAACTGAACTTATCCACATCACTCACAAGAGAAAGGAACAGTGCCAAGGGGAACTGATCATGAATGGCAAAGCAGTCAAACCATCCACAACGGCCAAACTACTGGGAATTATCTTCGACCATAAGCTACGATAGAAACCACACGTACAGCAGGCGGTCAAACGAGCTATAAAGGTCAACCTCGCTCTTGGTAGACTACAGCATTTACGCCCAGAGCAGATACGTTAGCTCTACGAAGCGTATGTCGCACCGGTCATTGACTATGCGTCTACCGTCTGGCATGACCTACTCCGAGATAAGACGCATCTTCGGCACTTATGCACCGTACAGCGGACTGCGCTCATCCGCGTTCTATCGGCATTTCGAACGGTGGCCACAGCTGCGCTGGATGTAGAAGCACACGTCCGGCCAATCCATCTTCGACTACGCTTCCGTACACAGAATACCATTACAAGACTCCACACCCTGCCCTAAAAACATCCTATCTGGAGCACCCTTCTTCGGGCCCAGAGAAGGCGGGACAATATTGGATTATACGCCAGGTTCCCTCTAGCAGAGGCGTTGAAAATAATAAACTTAGAGAGACTGAGAGAAATCGAGATAATTGACCCGACCCCGCTCCCTCCATAGAGACCGGAGGGGTTCGCCAGAATCGAAATAGAACCTGATCGAGAGGTTGTAATAGAGAAAGCGGAAACAGTACGATCCATCTCGGACGTGATGATCTACTCAGACGCCTCGGGGCGACAAGGTCATCTGGGAGCTGCAGCCGTTGCGATCGACGAGAGGCAGCAGACAACTGACAGGATACAAATACAGGTGGGCAGTATGGACCGCTGGTCGGTCTATGCGGCAGAGCTCATTGGGATTCTATACGCTATCAATATCATCAATCAAGTCGCGGTTCGACGTTGGACAGCATCGTACGTGCGGGTGAGATCCGCCACAATCTTCAGCGACAGTATATCGGCACTGTAAGCTATTCGAAGACCGGGGAACAAGTCGGGACAGCAGATCATCCACGCTATCCTACGAGCAGCCGAAACCACCAAGAACTATGGTACAATGATTCGACTACAATGGATCCCCGGTCACTGCGAAATACCGGGAACGAGATCGCCGATCAGCTTGCTAAAGAAGCTGCCATCCCGGGCAAGACACACCCGTTTAGTCCCTTGATATCACGCGAGAGAGCACATATCAGGCAAGTTATTTAGGACCAATGGGCAGAGGAATAGAAAGGGTCGAAGACTGGCAGCTACCTGCGCCGGATTGACAACACCTTGCCAGCCAAGTACACACGTGGCCTCTACGGTTCCCTCCCGAGGAACCGGGCTTATCTACTCACCTAATTGCAAACTGGCCACTGCTGGCTATCAACATATGCAAAGACGTTTCGCTTCCGCGACAATGACCTATGTGTCTGTGGCGAACGCGAGAGTGTAAGCCATGTTCTGCTAGACTGTCCAGAGCTGAGAGCACTTCGGCGAGAGCTCCGAGAAAAGGTCGGCGAGGCGTTCAACAGCATTTCAATCCTACTAGGAGGGTCTGGAGGAGAGGAGAGAGGTAAGGTTAGCCATGCTTCGAAGGCGAAGACGGTAGAAGCCGTCTTAGACTTCGCTGAAGCATCACAACGGTTTCAAAGCCGAGTACCATGAAGACAACATGAGAACGAAGGGCTAGGGAGCCACGAAAGGCTTCGGCGAGGCATTAAGGTCGCTTAGGAAATTAGACACGGCAATTACGAAGAGACACATGTATATAGTTGTTGAATCCTGCATATCGTTCGCGAGGGGTCGGGGTAAATGAAATCATCCATCCATCCATCCATACTGTAGAGCAGATCGATTCATCATTCTCGGCTGACGATCGGAAAGCGCTTTTCGCAGGCAGCTAATGCTGGCTTGCTCCTGCGTCGACGATGGCCTAGACTCGTGGTACACATTGCTCATAGCATAGTTGTGAGGAAGTGTGTGCCCGGCTGGAAAACCAGGCATTGTTGCAACGCTTACATAGTGCCCCTGGCCATTGAGGTATGGGGGTATTCGAAGGTCAACCAAATCACCCATCGAGGTTCTCGGGTAGGCTTTGGGAGTCCAGGGCCTTTGCATGAGTATGACTGTCATTGCAATAGCATCATCGTCATGCTCAAGAGTATCACGGTCATTGACAAACCTTCTGTGTTCTTTCGCATAGGCACAACTCCACTCGCCAGAGGGGTCTTGATGCCGTCGATCATGAATCAGCTGATTAACATAGGCACGCCGCTCATCTGACAGAGCCTGATACTGGCCTGCCGCGGAAATCTCGAACGCTCGATCGTAGATCATACCATAGAATTCAGGTTGGGTAAAATCCATCCGAGAGCGCTCTGCCCGAGCCTATGTCGCACTCTGTTGCGGGAGAGGATCGGCTCTGAAAGGCAGATACCCGTCATAGACGTTGCGAAGTTGAGGTTGATTCATGGCTGTGGTGGGTGAATGAGAGAGTAGATTGTAAATTGTAATTCGCAAGGTATGTGAGGGTTAATAGGAAATTTCTCAAATAACAGAAAAAACTTTCCTCTGTCGATCTGTACTTATACTATTCTGACCCAAAGGATGGGGCATTTTCAGGGGTGCCACCGGATGAAATGACGCTAGCTCTAACATCAGCCAATGATTGGAAGGGATAAAATGATGAGGCTGAGCTGCTGAGACAAGCCAAATAGGCGCCAGAGATGATTGAGGGACGCAGGCCATTACCCAGGCGAGGGCCACGGAGCCACTAATTTCAATGATGCAATGATGTAGGACACCGAAATGAGCAAAGACGTACGATAGTTAAACAGATGGTACGTTGACGAATCCTCCGTATACAACTTTGGTGGGTGGGGGCGTACGGGTTGGGTTTTATTCATCCAAGCCTCTTTCATTAAAGAAGCAGCCTTGGTAAATTCTCCAAGTCACCGGGATGGCGGCTAACACTGACAACCGAGAAGAACTGATTTGAAAGAGTTGATTTTCCGGCTGCGTCAAGAAAGCCTTGTTAGAAATATTTCACTCAATTAGACACGCCTTTTTATTAGTTCCTAATAAAATTTGATCTTATTTTTATGCGTCCAACTTAAAGCTTAGATTTAAGGAAATCCTACCGAAATTCCTGTTTCTTTCCATTTGAACGTTTAGCACTGCAAGTCGCTCATATCCCAGAAAATTTTGTGACTCAATCACACCTCTTAGCTGACTCGGTGGGTTAAAAATGATTTACAAACCACAATTTGCTGTTTTAGGATGGGTTTCCTTCAGTAAAGTCAGTAGAGAGCTAATAATAAACTTTCCAAGACGATATGCCTCGCAGCCAATTTGATAACTACATGTATAATATCTATCACTAATGCTACGATAGCTTGATCCTATTTAGACGAAGGAGGAGGGTCTGGTTATCACTGTAACTCCCTTGCAACCCCATGAGTACCACTGTATTCGACCTACTGCTTTTTGCAGTAATATAGTAGGTAACTTTTTGCAGTGAGTCCCATTCTCACCTCGTATAAAACACGTTTCATGAGCACATGGATTCAAGTACGTAGCAGAAAAGATGAGAAGAAGAACGGGCATGTACTATAAATGCAAAGTGGTACATGTATTGCAAAGCGGCCTCAAGTATCCGTGGTCGATAACTGAATAATACTAATTTTGGGGTATGTAGCTAGAGGTGAGAATGACTAGGTCACTTTATCATAGACTCAGCAGCTCAAGTGCCGGCTTAAATACAATGAAGCTCACTCAGGAAGTCCGGTTTTCATTATTATGACAGTCTACTTCCAGGAATAGCAGCTGCTTATAGAACCACTTCAAGTACGCTATCGAGCAAAATTCATGAAACAAATGACTTTCACTATGCATTCAGCGAATTGGCTCTTGGAAATAATAATTTCAACTACCTGTTACGCAGCCATGAACACGTCTCAATGCCAAGGACTGCCCAATTGTGAGAAGACCATTTCAAATTCTCCAACAAACGGTGCTTCTATCAAAGATACCTTGCCATATCGTCGAACTTACTCAATTACTGGCTTTGGTGGAATTACTGAAGCATCTGGCTCTGGGATAACTTATCAAGGCAGTGTAGGCGATCCCTACGGGAGCAATATTATCAGAGTATCTGCAGAAAACTCCAGTGACTATAAATATGTTGCTGAATTCAAAGCAGCGAGCTCTGCAATATGGTCCGTGGTTATCTGGAATAAAATTCTACCAGGCGGTTTCCTCAATGGTTGGTACGGCCATGCCTGCAAGAATTTCACTTTGAACAGTGGAACGACTCAACATGTTGCTTTTGACGAGAACTTTCAAGGAGCTTGGGCGGCTGCACCAGGTTACACGATACCTACTGACAACTTCGGGGGTTACACTTCGACATGGGGTGAATTCGATTTTGGGTCAGCCATATATTATTCAGGATGGTCGGGGTTTGATGTTTCAGCCATCACGGCACAGGCAGCCAATATTCAAATCCAGGGTATGAAAATCTGCGATACAGCCACCGAGACTTGCTCTTCAATTAGCTCCGATGGCGCCAAATTCAATAATGCATACGCTGCCAAAGATTCGAACGTCGGCGGAATAGGTGGCAATCTTCCAGCTGGCCAATTAAGGCTTGCAGTGGTGCTTGGCTACGAAGCCGATGACGCTATGAAATGACTGATATCCATGTACATTCTTTGATGAGAAGTCATCAACAGGAGAGGCTCGCTTTATAGCAATTGGAACGGGAAACGTTTAGGTCCGAATTTAAACAATAAGTCAAGCTGTTATTGGATCTCATATAAGAGAATGGGAGAATGGACTACGAGATAACAGGAGCCTTGAGTGACCTGCCCAAACTTGTGATATTTCGATGGTGGCCGGGAAGGGGGGATTCATCTGCTCTATTTACGGTATGAAATAGATTCATTTTTTTACAAAAAATCACTTTGAGCCTCATGAGCACACTCAGGGACAAACATTTCCCTGAGCGAGAGAATACCTGAGTCTGCTTTAGGAAATTGCCCAATGATTTCAGTGGTTGGTCAGAACACAATTTCACAGCAAATGAGCTGTGCCTTTCCGAAATTCCATTTGACCACAGACGAGCGATGAAAGCTAGTCATAGCCGCAAACTTAAACACTAACTCTTTAGCCATTAATTTTGTGGATAAATTGAATGTTTTGAATAGGTTGTCAATTATATCAAAACTACGATCGAGTCAATAATTATCCAAGTGTCTGCCGTAATGTCTAAAATTGGCACTGAACAGGCTTCAAATAATAATCCATTGTTTCAGTCCAAACAGTCGGATTGATGGATGGTTTAATTTACGCTGAACCTTCGCAAAGTTAATTATAAACCGCATACAACAGGCTGGCAACGAATTAATTTTTGGCCTGGTGGTTAAATCTATCTGGCAAAGACACAGACAACTATTTCTTGGCAAAAACGTTTTCTTGGATTACCTAGCCAACCAGAGGTCGCAGGACCTCGAGGATTAGTTCATCGTAGTCTTAACTTCAAGCGCTATCGTCTAATACCCGTTTCATTGGGAAGATGGCAGCGGTGGTTGCGACTGGTGCAAATGCACAGAATTTGCCCCCTATCAGGAGAGCAACACCAAAACCCATGGTCCTCGCGGACCCGCCCCGATCCATGGACGACATCGCGGAACGGGCCCGCAAGGTGCTTAATCACATCGAAAACAATGGCATGGAAGACCGATACGTCACTGGATATATTCGTGCCGTCCGCCAGTACGCACTCAACGCCCAACGGGGCGATGGCCAGGGATGGCCAAGGTGCTCTAGGCGCTGACCAAAATCAACATCGACACCGAACGTCTGAACCAGCGAATTGACACCATCGAAAGAACAACCAGCACCTTATCGACGAATTTATCCAACCCCGCGGCGAACTCTGCGGCAGCGTGGCGCAACTTCCGAGCCAGAGAATGGCAGCGCGACCTGGCCAAGGCTGCGGCACCCAACATCCGGAGCAACGGCACGTCGTCTCCAGGAGTACCGGAAATCGAACTTCGCGAGGGCCGTGAGGTCATCGTCAAAGTCGAACCAAACCGTGAACAAATCCGTGGATTGACGCCAAAGGATCTGGTTGAACGGGCAGAACGACAAAGGACAACAAATGCCCGGCAGAAGAATTCTGGGGTACTGGCTGGACAAGCCTCATTCGTTGCGGCCTGAAAACTGCCCTCGGGCGACGTGGCAATGGTGGCCAACAGTGCCGCAGGTGCAGAGGCCCTTCGTAAACATCCCGCGTGGTTGAGAGCTTTTGGACCTGGCTCGGTGATCCAGGAGCCATCATGGGGAGTCGTGGTGTATCATATCCCCGTGAAGTCGATGAAGCTTACTCCGGAGACGATGGCCGATGTTGCAGCTGAACTGCTCAGGCAGAACAACTGGGAGAAGGCTCTAAGATCCAGTATCTCGGATGGCTGACGCGTCCGGTTGAGAGGGCGGAGGGCTCGATTCTGATCGAGTTCACTACCCCAGTCGTGGCTAATCGCGCTATCATCACTGGAGTCGTATGGGGGAAGCAAATTCATAATGCATCACGATTCTGCCGAGAGGGGCGGATGAAGCTATGCAGGAAATACCAAAAGCCGGGGGATATCCAGTCACACTGTTCCAACGTTTTCAAATACGGCCACTGCGCCGGCGGACACCCGACCTGGGAGTGTCCGTCGTTGAAGGGGCAGGCGATACCAGTCAAGTGTGCCTACTGTGGCGAAGGACACCGTCCTACAAACTGAGAGTGTCCGGTGAAGATTGCGGCGATGAATGAAGCTAAACAGGCATTGGCCGAATGTCCCACATACCACCGCATCCCACTACACTTTCAGATTACGACAAGTACCGAAGCAGTAACAGCTCCAACCAGATGAAACCCCACAGCTGGCCGAAGGTGAATAAATGGAGACTAAAGGACACATTGTAATTGTATACTAACTATGTGGTGAAATTACATATCAGCAAGTCCACAGAAGAACCGAGTATATCCATTCTCAAGTCCTGTTGCATGATCTTCCTCTCTGTTGAGCCACCCCAATACCCCGTCAATCAAAATATTGTCAGCTAATAGCTCTTCCAGATAGAATGAGTATTATATAAAGCAAAGAGCAGTTGGTATTGATCGGAGTCTGTAATATGAAGCCCATCGAACATTTCCTCTGAATGGCCATCAGTATCCCATATTTCGAAAATTAATGACTTCTGGACTAAATACCGAAGGAGACATGATTCTAGCAAGTCGGGCAGTCACAGTCGGAGGGAAATCCATGGTTGCTGCAGCAAATAGAAAATGCTTCCAAGTATTCCGAGATTGAATCGGCCTGGCAATCTTCGCCATCCTGGAAAGTTCCGCTCACTAGATCGCAACAAGTCTGGGTTGAGCTGGGATCATCCAGGCCATCTCTCGCACACTTGCAAGTATAGGCGGGAACGGAAAGAGCGGTGACGGTTAACAGAATAAGATCAAAGAACCGCATTTTGATATTTGCAATAGCGGACTTGTCGGAGGTAGTGAATAGATATATGATTGATATGGGTTGATGTTGGCCTACGATCAAGGATACTTGAGAGCTACTATATATACCCGATATGTTTCCAACAATTCAGTTCTTTGGCTCATGGCTCGTCCCGGACACACGCTACACCAGTACAAGAAGTGACCCCGGCACTGCCGAAGAATAGCATAGTCGTGTAGTGTCGGCCTCCCCGGCGGTCTACTATGAGCTGTGAGGGGTAGCATCCTTTCGGACAATTTCCGTGGAATCGTTGGAGATCTAATACTATATTGGTTTCCATTATCATCGTGTTCATCTCGTATCGGATGGAGTTGCCCCATAATATAACGTTTATGTGAGAATTTCCTTGGCACGGGGCGCACGCAGTTCACGGCTTGGCACTCCGTCACTTTCAACGCTAGTTGAAACATCAGGCTCAAATTACCAGATAGCTTGACAAGATTGTTGATATTGAATTGAGTCTCAAAGTGTTGTGACGCTGTCGACTGTCTTTCCTCTATTAGCAGCCTATGCTTCCTTCCACACGTCATTCTACTTGGATTTTACTGAACTTTATTTTTATTCTCATCTCTTTGAAACCTATTCCATGGCATTGTTGAAGTTATTTATCCAGTCACCTTTTGTTGGCTGATTATGACAAAGCCGGGCAGTTTACTATCGACTTTTCCTCGATCCTCTGAGGCAGGATGTACCATGATTCCAAATCCTTAGAAAGGGCAACTCCATTGATGATCGCTTACTCTACATACACTTGACCAGTGAGAAGCAATTAATATCCCTGAATGTGGCCGAATCATTCTGTTACTTTGTACGTGATGTATGATTACCCCATGTCTTGGCTAAGGATTTGCTCTGTATAGTGGGCTAGGACCCATATTAGAAAATTTGATCTTAAATCTTGTAATCTTGTCATGACAAATACTTGAAACATACGTGTGGGTGATCACTGCTTCTTTTGCAGTTCCAGTCGGAGATATTTCTTCAAAGCCGTAAAGTCCCTCAACTCTGTTCGGGTTTATGCTCATTTTGAGTATAGCGCTGCGCGTTATTCTTTGCACCTATAGAGAGATTCATTCTACTCCGTAGACAGACAGGAGCTTGAAATATCCATATTTAAAGGAGAAGAATTCGCGTTCAAAGTCTTGGTCGCTGAGCATCCTTCATCATTTACGAGTCCCCATTGTTTATATACTCTCAGCCTCTTCCCTTTTAATTCATCATCTTTGCAACCTCTATCTCCCAATATGCGGTTCCTCAATCTTGTTCTAGTTACCGTTACTGCCCTATCGGTTCCCACTTACGCTTGCAAGTGTCTTGTAAACGGCGAGCAGGATACTCCGAGAACACAAAGTTGCTGTGATGCGTTGGGTGGAACCTTCCAGGACGGCAATGACTGCCAAGCTAGTTCAATTTCGGATGGTCTCTCGATCTTTGATAACTGCTGTGGCGGCATCTCCACTACTTCCGGCTCGGACTGTGACTGCCCTGACTGTTAAGGTAGACTAGATACAGACCGACATATCGGACGTGAATTATGCTAACATTTGAAATTCAAAGGCTCATACTCTTGTCCTAAGCTGCGCACTTGTCTCAAAGTCGCCTGTGCCAAGCTCTGTTCAAACCGTGCCTAAATCAGAGTTCCCCCTGTTTTGTTTACAATAAACTATGCCAGGAATGAAGAGCACAATTATTTTCGCTGTTAGCCTGGGGCCTAGCAAACTATAGGGGATTGCCCATGACCTGGAGGTTCGATGTTTTCTGAATATCTGGAACCTACGCCTACGGGAATTTTGTTTAATCAGTGTTAAACAGTACATTTTCACTTTCATTGACAATACATTTTCGCTTGAATTCATAAAAAGTTGAAAATGCACTATCGTTGGTTGATTCTCCCGAGGTCAACGGTATCTAAACCTGGCACATATATCTCTATATTTAAATGGCAATTAAGTAGGAATAAACAACTTTACATGGATTTAGAGTTTTGATGGTACCCGCGGGTTTCACCTTAATACTCTCAAGCGGCAATTTGCGGGTTAGGGTAGCAGGAGGCCTGAGCACAACCCTCAATCGGACGGTCGGGCTTAAGATACTCTCCCGTCACCGGTCACTATATGCGAATTGATGTCTGCTTTTGCTTTTCGCTTTTCCCCCTTTCGTTTAATGTGAGGGTTACGATCTTTCTTTATTAATTTTTTTTTTCTTAAAAAAAAGAAGGCTTCGAATGGGTCCAACAGTTTCTAAAGGAGAGCCCCGAAGGACTAAGAGAAAGGAACAAAATATAATGAATACAAGAATTGATGTATTCAGTGGTCAGAGGTCTGAATAACTTCCGCATCCGCCTAGATGCATCCCAACACCCGCCCTACGCCTCCGTCCTTTTCTTCCGAACATATAACACTGGGTAGACAAAAAAATAGTAGATACTGTAATAGAAAGATCCGCAAATAACTTTGCCGTCCACAAATGATTGTATCCCTCGCCAGTCTCGATAAGTAGATCACGTTATAATTATTTTCACTATGATAGTAAAAGAGGATAGTCCGAAAGAGGGCACCTCTGAAGAGCTTCAGGATATTATTGCCTGTTTATATATAGAGTTTTGGTAATCAATTTGGTAATTTGACCATAGTTAAGGTGATTATTTTGGAACCAGCAAAAATACGCACTAGTAATATACACAAATTTAATGAAATTTGGGGGCCAAAAAGGGCACGGGCCATGCCCCAAAAGCCCCTAAGGCACCCCCGCCCAGGGCCCAAAAAAAACAAAAAAAACAATTAACGAGTGAAGGTGGTGACACCAGTTTCGGGACATACTGTATCCGGATTAGAACTATCGGGAATGAGTTTCTGGCCGACAACGATAATATATGGAAAGCCGCGACATACCTAAAGTCGGGAGATGATGCAGCATTAGGGAAGGCCCCACAGCTCCTCAGGGCGGATGGAACTATGACCACCGATCACAAGGAGCAAGCAGAAGAACTACTGACCAAATTTTTCCCGCCCCTGCCGGACAGAATTGATGATGAAGGGACCAGGCCGCAGAGAGCGCCCGTGGAGATACCTGCCATCACCATGGAAGAGGTCGAACGGCAGCTTTTGGCGACAAAATCTTGGAAAGCACCTGGCGAAGATGGCCTACCAGCGATAGTGTGGAAAATGACGTGGCCCGTGGTCAAGCACGGGGTCCTGGAGCTATTCCAAGCATCGCTGGATGAAGGCACATTGCCCAAGCAGTGGAGACATGCGAAGATCATACCGCTCAAGAAACCGAACAAAGAGAACTATACCATTGCGAAGGCCTGGAGGCCGATTTCACTCCTCGCAACACTAGGCAAGGTGCTGGAATCAGTCATCGCAGAAAGAATCTCGCACGCGGTGGAAACTTACGGCCTGCTTCCGACCAGCCACTTTGGGGCCCGTAAGCAACGGTCGGCGGAGCAAGCACTCTTACTCTTACAGGAGTAAATCTATGCGGCGTGGCGTGGCCGGCGGGTCTTGAGCTTGATCAGTTTCGATGTCAAAGGAGCCTACAATAGGGTCTGTAAGGAACGACTGCTTCAAAGGATGAGAGCGCGAGGTATACCGGAGGTTCTGCTTCGGTGGGTCGAAGCGTTCTGCTCGGAGCGAACGGCGACCATCCAAATCAATGGGCAAGCATCTGAGGCCCAAAGCCTATCCCAAGGGACCGGGTGCAGTGGGCCTGACTGCAAAACAGTGAGAGTCCTTAATTATGGGCAGAATCAGACCTACTTTGGACGACTGTACACTACTTTCTAAAGATGACTACAAGCACTTTTTTTTAGATAATCAGGCTCAAATTTTCACAAGTTCTAAGCTAACCAAAGTTCTTTAAAAGTTTTGAATCTTAGCCTCTCTAATTATCTCTAGCAGTCGTACAAACTAACCCTAAACAGCCAGTTTTAAGAATTAATTTTGATAGGGTACGACCAGAAAGGCCTACTTTTAGACAGCTAGCCCTATACTTTGATAGATCTAAAATTTACCCCTAAATATATATATTCAACATCCATACTGTTCTTTACTTTCCTAATTCTACCAACATAACTACTGAAATTTCTCGTACGACTAAAGAACTCTTTACTACTCTCTCCTTATACCTAATCTTAGTCTGTAAGCTATATTAAATAGCTGTACGACTAAACTAGATTACTAACTATCTCTGATATACCCCTTATAAGTATAATATTCCCTTCTATA